AAAAAAAACGTAAACAAAAAGATGAAATGGAAGCAAAACGCTAAAAAGACCCCAAACTTACCGCAAAGTAAGGCTGCGTAGCTGTGAACAAGGAAGTAGAGTGCAGAGCAAAAACGAGCAGCGACAAGAAAGCCGAAAATAGCATGTCATGTCTTGCTCGCAGTACCACAGCATTCTTTAGACGTCCTGGTAATGGATCCGAAACATCTAGTTCATCTAAATCACCATAATTCAGAGGCTGAGTCGAAGAACTATACTAATGTTCACCTGCATCTTTCACTCTCTCATCCTCTTCTTGTTCTGAAGACGCAGCGCAACACAGCCGACTCGTACTATCAGAGTTACTAGGAGTTCCTACAGACGGACATACTGCTCGAAGCAAGATTATGGACAATTGTGGATTGGACGAAAACCTTCAACAGCAACACGAAATCACGGATATCCTCTTATGCTTCGGTAAAATCACACCTGCTCAGCAGATATGAGATCGCGACAGCTGCAGAGAGAAAAGCAGAAAATGCAGGAGTCTGGGTTGTAGTAGGATCGATGGAATAAGCCAAATGACACCTGATAAGCAAAAAAGATAATAATAGTTTTTTCACAAAAATGTCGGGAACCCACAGTGCTCCAAGGATGGCCCAGGCAGCAAGGCTTTTTAGTATCTGCAGGAGAGCGCTTAGGACACCCAGAGAAGCAGTTCCTCCGAATATATGCATTTCAAGCTGTTCTAGCACATGGTGCATTAGTGTGTTGACCTGTAGAGGTGAGAAAATAAATTATCGAGAAAAACAAAACGCGAAATCATATGCTGTATCGAAAATTTGGACGACTACAGGTAATGCAAACAATTAACATCTAACCTGCGGTAGCCAACCCATTGTGAAAGCAAATGGTAGCATTACTAGAAATGTAGCAAAAAGGTCACGAACTGCTAGAAGCACCATCTCTCCCGAAGTCTCGTACAGCCTAAATCTGTTAAGATGACTGAATTACGCTTTTAGAAGATAGAACAACCTGTATGGGTTCCAATTCCATGGTATTTTGTCGTAATTTGGGTCATCGCAAAAATGATGCAGCACTAAAACTATGGCAGCCAAGATGCAAAAGTATACGGGACGACTGTAGGCAACGAGCCAGTTGAAACCATGAATAGGTGAAGATGCATCCGGCTGGACGCTTTTGAGAAGGGAGAACTAAATAAAAAGAAGCCTTTCTTCCGATTATCAAAACAGTACATATATAGTGTAAAAACCATACATGGGCGCCAGCAACTGTAAACGCGAGTAGGAACAACCAGATGTCAAAGTAGATCCCAGTAGCTAGAACTAGACCAGCAAGAAATGACACTGTGCAAGCCAAAAGAACATCAAATGCGCAAGACCATGCAGAGTGGTTTCTATCGAACAAAGCAGATACTGATAGCCGATCCAGCTGGAAATATTGTAGGATAGATCGTTTGAGAAGAATAAGACAAAGAAGATAATCACCTTCAATTTGAAACTTTTATTTGTCTTCGGGAACATCTTCATTTTGTAGTAGTAGCTTTTCTTTACCGTTGATGTGCGTCGAGTAGGTGGAGCCGAATAGTCAACTGAGAGTGCCGCTAAAGGGTACAGATAATAAAGGACTTTCCTCGAGCCAAAAACGAAATTTAGTAAAGGAAAACCCATATATTTGAATCAATTAAGTTCTGATTATGCGTTTGATCGCAATAAGAAAAACGCATACCTGCATTTGTACCGCCCGTTGGAAGCACTGCTAGACCAAGTTCGGAAAGAAAGCGGAATCTCGATGACATGCCACCTCCTGTGGAAGAACCCGAATCCAATCGCGTAAGGAAGGCGTCCTAAATTGGCAGATAGACAAAGTCAAGTGTAATTCTTAGACAGACAGAAAGACACTCTTAGACTAAACAACAAGCACTGCAGAAAAAAAAGTCGAAAAGCTACCTGATAAGCAGGTGGTGCGCTATCCACTCTTGCTCGTCCTTCTCGACGCTCCAAAATACTTCTTGCAAATTGATTTGATGTCACATCTGTTCCATCGGGTCCCCCAATCGCTAATCCGTCTGTCTGACGCACAGCAGCCCGCAGTCTCGATGCCACATTCGCAAACGATACCATTTGATGTCTGGAATTACAAACGAGATCAATGGCTCAGTCACAGACGTGGAAGAATTTCACAACCTCGCCCTACTTGCTCCCGTTCCCGTAGGTGCATGGAAGACAGTTGTTGGTAATTGAGGGATATAGGTGTAACTCTCATTACTGGACGAAGATAAAGCACGTTCACGCCTAAAAATAACTAGTGAACCAGCAATGTAAAGGTGCTAGATCTGCATT